CTCTTCGCCTTTTTTCTCTCTGCCTTCCCTTCCTTGGCTCCTATTTCTATCTATCCATTTCCCCAGACAATCTCTCTTTTTTCTGTGAAGAAAGTATATCCTCTTTCCTGTCTAAAACCTCTTCTCCTCTCTTCCCCTCCAAGCTCCTGCCCTCCTTCTCTCCTCTCATTTACCATCCCTCTTTTCACAGACAGTTCTTACCTTCTTTCTCCCTCCTCTCATCTTTCCTCTCTTAACCGTATTCCTCCTCACTATACCCCCACTCCTCAATAAATCTATCTTTTTAAAAAAAAAAAAAAACTACGAAAGATACCATTAAACAGAGGAAGAGGGATGGCAGCACAAGAAAAAAGTAAGGACAGATGATGAGGAGTAGGAAATCTAGGGACAGAGACTGAGAGAATAATATGAAGAGACAGAATGACGCAGATCAAGAAACAGAAAGAAAAGCTTGAGAGAGATCTCTCTGTGTAACAAGACCTTGCCTTTAGCATTATTTCTTCATATGTTGCACATTAATCCTTTGTTTATGAAAGATGGAGATGCCAACTACAGCTGTCCCACGGGGAGGGGAAGAACAAAGCTATCTGAAGGCAGAAGAAATATGTGACTGCGTTAAGATTTGGTATCAGACCCATCCATTACTGTGATTTAATAATATACATTTAGAGAATTAGACTCACTGGGTGAAAATGGTTGCGATATACTGGTAATCTCTCTCTTTTTTTAATCTAAACATCTAAATATGTTCTTTTGAATGAAAAAGACTTTCTTTTATTTGTTATGATTTACATTAATGTGAGTAGTCTTCTGGAGTTGTAAGATGATCTGTGCACATTATGTGGTCTTGTTGGAGTTATGCAATGTTCAAAAAAGTGGTTCAAACACAAACTTAAATATTACATGAAGCGCAAATACCGTTTTATTACATTGGAAATTGTGGTAGAGGTTTAATGTCCTTTGTTACTCGATTGACAGATTTTAACCACATTTTAATCTATTAATTGTTTAAGTAATTCATTAAGCAATAATGTCTTTTTAACTGAGTTACAGTCTCAAATTTGAGTTTTTGCTGTTTTTATATTTTTTCAAATTGAAACTAGGTGACGTCAGCTTGTCACAGATTCCTTTATTGATATCTGTTCTAGGCAGCATGTCTCTGCACAAAGTCTGTCTAAGTTATCCAACTGTTCTGCTCAGGAGTCAGGACTAACCCTTCAAGTTTTTGTATGCGAGGGAATATTACATATTTTCACTCTCAGATATTTACAGTTCACAGTTCACCGATGGACGTTTACTTGCAGCTATTAGCTGACCACTAACTGCTGCTAACAGACTGAGAACTTGATGCACTGGCACTCCCGGCGGTCCTGTACTATAGATGTAACACCAACACTGTCCCCGGTGCTCTGAGCTCCCAGTACAGGTAGAGTCCCCTAATATGATTGTTAGCTGCACAGGTAACCAGCCAACAGCGACAGCTAGTTAGTGGCTAAAGTAGTTAACCGCTAACAACAAGTAGCTAAGGATATATTTCCATCTGGAAACTCTGTAAATCACTGAAAGTTAAAGCAGAGCAGATGGAGGACATCAGAGGGAAGACCAGATAATATATCTAACCCTTATTCTAAGGTAACAAAAACAACAATTCTTATAGGTGATCATACACTAATGAAAACATACGTATGAATATTAAATTCAATTTCTGCCAATAGATCCTCTCAAACACTGGACCTTCAAGTATGTTTTGGTGAAAGCAACACAACGTGAACTCAAAACTTTTTAGACTTTTCGGTTAATTGCATGGATGATTTAGATAACTGTAATACAATCCACCAGGCTGTATATTAAAAAAAAGATTAATTAACAAAATCGAAACTCTCCAATGTGGTTTCCTTACCTTATATATATATATATATATATATATATATATATATATATATATAAACTTCTGAAATATCCCCCACAACCCTCTCGAACATCCTTCAACAGATGTCTTGGGATGATTATTGGCAATTTCAGATTAAAAGCCTCACTGGTGTTGTGGCTAATTGTAGTTGATGGAAATGATTAACTGATGCATTTATCCTGACTATGGTATTGAGGCCATTGTGGTGTATAGGGTCTAATTGTAGCTAGTAGCAGTAGTTGTTATGTGGTATGTTGTGGTGGGTTGTACCTAATTGTAGTTGATAGTAATGGTTCCAGTCTGTGTATACAGCCTGAAGCAGACAAAGGCTGTACTGCGACACTGAGACACACACATGCATACACCCAGAAACATACGGTACAGCCTTTTAACACACACTTCTTCTTCTTGCCCACATCCTGGAGCATGCAAATCAGTCAAATTTGCATATGCAAATAAATATGTGATGCCAATTTAAATAAATAATAGATGCCAAATACTTATACTAATTCCTGATCTGTTGATTTGACACTTCGCTAAAATCATTCAGTTTCTTATTATTGCCTCGATTAACTTTTTAAGTCATCACGAAAGTCTTATGGGACCGGTGGAAACACAGTTAGGTCAGTCAGTGCTTCTTGGGTCGGGATTTCAGCTTCATTGCTTTACCACAACGATCTGTAGTTTTCCACTTGTGTGTGTGTGTGTGTGTGTGTGTCTGTGTGTGTGTGTGTGTGTGTGTGTGAATGATGAATTCTGACTGGGTGTGGTGAACATCAGATGAGATTTTCCTCTGCTCCCTGCACTCACTCACTCACTCTCCCTCCCTCACACACACACACACACACACACACACGCAGACACACACAGTGAGTGCCAGGGCTGGTCTAGGCGTGGGCCCTTGCACACATAAATTGCTTTATTTCAATAGTTGTATGGTAGAGGAAGAGGGAAAGAAAAAAAAAAATTAAAATACTAGAAAGGCCATAGAGAGAAAATTGGATTCAACAAAGAAGGCAGCCCTCTTTCTCTCATTTGTCTTCTCCTTCTCTGTGTTGTGTATGTTTTATTTTCTCTTTTTTCCCTAATCCACTAGATTCCATTACAGGGTTGTTAAAATATGGTTCTTTTTAATATGTTTACGTGTATCTGCATGTGTTTGTTTCTGTTCATCTGATTATCTGCTTTCAACTACATTCCCTTTTACTTCTCTTTCTTTAGAAGTGTGTGTGTGTGTGTGGGGGGGATTCTCTTGTGCTTTAACTGTTTGCAGTTTACTATCAGTAAATAGCAATAAGCGTTTATCTCTCACGCTAAGATAGAGTCACTGGGCCGCATGTATGCTATCTCTCGCCTGCACACACATCATCAAACTTGCATTACTCACACACAAAAGCACACACGCGTTCAGTGTCTTTCCCCCTCATATTGCATTGATCTAAAAGTGATCAGTTTTTGGCGTCTATCAGGCGTCTGTTGGGTTTGACTGTGTTTATTACCGAACACACACACACGCGCATACAAACACAGCGTACGGGTCAATGGGTTGACTGTGTTTACGACTGAATATGAACTGAACGACCACAAATAAACACACGCTCACACATGCACGCATACACACATGCTCAGAGAACACACACACACACGCACAATATCTCTGTCTCTCCGTCATGACTGTTGTGAACAGAACGACCACAATTGTTCTCTTTTCAAACAAAAGAAACATTATGGTTTAACATAAAACACATGGGTGGTTATTTGATGGCTTTGTATAGTGATTATAAGGGAGGGTGGGGAGGGATGGTGGGAGAAAGGGAACGACAGAGGGAGGGAGAGGGCAGAAACAGAAAAATTTTAATGATGGAATTACTCAAATTATTGCTGCAATTATTATTACATGTGAAAGAGGGCAATAGAGAATTAAAAATGACTGAAATGGAAGTAAAATGTCTTAATAAGTGTTTTCTATGTTGATAGGTATTTTACTATCATACATATATATATACACTGTAATAATAATAAGCATGGTGGCGAGAGAGGTTAAGGGTAGAGAAGAAGGAGATGAGATCGGGGGGTATAAGTAAACTGGGATTTGAAATGAGGGAAAAAAGCAAGGCAAAAAGAGAATAAAGAAGAGTGAGGAGACCAGAGGACAGGAGGTGACACAGATAAAACAGGAGAGACAGTGAGAGATGATCATTTGGGAGCCAGTAAATGAATGAAAGGCATGCGGAAAGAGATGCACGAAAGAAAGAGAAATTTAGAAGGCTGGAGGGGATGAATTGCAGTCTGCCGCCTCCCTCATCCATCTTTCTGATATGGGGTGTGTGGTTTGATGTGGTCGTCTGTTGGCCATTCTCCCCGTCTCTCTCTCTCTCTCTCTCTCTCTCTCTCTCTCTCTCTCTCTCTCTCTCTCTCTCTCTCTCCCTCTTTCTCCCTCTCCCTCTCTCCTCTCTGTCTCCCCCACTTCTCTCTGAGCCTCACCCTCTTGTCTACCACCCCACCCCTGCCCTCCCCTCCCTCGCCCTCCCAGCCTCTCTCTGATATGGTTTGAGTTTTGATGTGGTCATGTGTTGAAGATTCTCACGGATGGTTTCCATAACGATAAAAAGATTCACTCCCTGGTTTGGAAAAAAAAAAAAGAAAAGGCAAAAAGTTGCACTTAAGGATGCAACGAACATCCCGACACACACACCCCTGAATGAAAAATCTCTCGCAGCTGAGATGTTTCTGATTTGTTGGGGCTGTTTTTCTTTGACGAGGTTTGTGGTTGTGGATCGTCACAGAAATCAGCCCTCAAAGAAGTTCGTAAATTGAATCAAAGCAATTCTGTACACATACATCATTGTCAGAAAATTGTATTTGTGTGCGTGTGTGCATGTAATCCACAGTATATTATTTGAGTCCTGCAGACACCTTGTATCTCTTAGTGTCTTGATTTAAGGGATTATGAAAAATCTGCTTGATATTTCCCTCCCCCAATTCCTTGCTGTTTGCGTAAACAATACATAGTTTACATGTTTAATGTCAACGCATCAGTCGGACAATAAACTTTTTGTGTCTCACTCCCTGTCTCTTTTCATCATATCAGAGATGGTGAGGAAGAAGAATCCCCCTATCCGGAGTGTGGGAGGTGAGGAGGAGGAGGAAGAGGAGGGGAGGAGGCCAGCAGGAGAGGAGGAGGAGGAGGGAGAGGAGGAGGGGAGATTAGGAGCAGAGGCCGAACGAATAAACCGACCCTCTGAGCCAGAATCCTCCGACCGGATCAGAGGAGATGAGGAGCAGGAAGAGGAGGAGGCAGAAAGCGAGTGTGTATCCTCATCTGTCTCTCCCTCATCCGTTGGCGACCGCTACAGCAACGAGGAGCGAGGGGGGAGGAGAGGAGGTGGAGGAGGAGGAGGAGGGAGGGCCAAAAAAGGAGGAGCGGCTTTGACTGACAGACCTGAGAGCCAGTCGGAGCCTGAGGATGGGGAGAAGGGGGTAGAGGAAGGAGAGAGGAGCGAAAGAGAGAGAGGGGAGGCAGATCATCTCACCACTCCTCTTCTCTCTGCTCCGCACCTCCTCCCCAGACAGGCAGGAGGGGAGGAGTCGCCAACTGCCACCCCTCCGCTCTCCTCCAGCCCCTCTCCTAAACTGCAGGACTTCAAGTGCAACGTGTGCGGTTACGGTTACTATGGCAATGACCCCGCTGACCTGGTGAAGCACTATAGGAAGTATCACCTGGGCCTGCACAACCGCACACGGCAGGATGCTGCCCTCGACACACACATCCTGGCCCTCCACAACATGGCTCCCCAACACACACCTCTAGGTATGTTTTAAACTTGTGTTGATGCTTCTTGTATAAAATAGTTGTAAATGAAAAAGTAACATGTGTCCCTGCACTAGATCATGAAATAAGCATCACTGATCAAGCCTTGGACCACACACTGACGTTTTACCAGGGTTAGTAAGTGTACCGAAATAAATCTGAACCGTAGCTAACCGACCTATTATCACCTCATTATGTGTTAACATACGCACTCAGTGAAATTCAAGGAAAAGCTGTGTCTGTCCTAACAACCCCTAAAATACATTAGCATACAACCAAGTGTGTTTCACAGCATGCTCAGGGTGCAGAAGCTTCTTAATGCAACAACTTGTTGACTGTTGATCCAAATGTTGTGCTTCTTCCCAGAAGTCATGTCTTTGTGCCTTTGACAGCCTCACCCCTGTTTCTTTATCTGCGTCTTACAAATCTGACCCCTGCTTGTATTTCTGCTCCCAGATATACAGGCAGGACAAGGACAGAGGAACCAAGCCAAAGAGTTGGGGAAGACGAGACCAGATGTACACAATCAACAGCACAGGACAGTTATGATGAATGGCACATATGATGTACAGGTAAGCACTAGCCACAGTCAAGAAATACAGACAAATAGATGATACGTGATGATCTAACTGTTTTCTTAAAATCTAATAAATGCATCAGTGCATTCATTCATATACACTAAAAATACTTGCCTAAATAATTGCCTTTGAAAGAATGGATAAATAAGACACCTGTTTACATAAAGAAGCAGTAGTTCTACCTCATCCTCAATGTGTTACTATAAAAAAAAACACACACAAAAAACATAGGAGCAATAAATAAACAGAAGCTGCACGGGGCATCTTGTGTTGTGACAGCATTTAATTAACTGGAAGGAAGGTAAAGCGTTCAACGGGTGGAACCAGAACTTACTGGTTCAATAACGCTTCGGTTTAAAAGCTTCCTGTTGTTACCTCTTCTGTCCAATAAAAAGCCTGCATTATTAGAGCCAATGCCCCTCAGACCCTCGTCACTTTCACGATCCTTTTTATCATTGCTCTTGAGAAAGACCTCAACATAACTGAGGTTTTCCACTTGAGACAGTTGCTTTCCCCTTATTTGGTTCTATCTACCCATCTTTGACAGAGAGATGAACCTCATCCCGTTAGCATTACGCTAACAGTTAGCTGCAAACAGCTTCGGTGTTCACTGGAGTTAAGTGCCCATTTTAAACATACTGGACTTTATGTCAGAGTTGCCATCATGGCTGTTGTTTCGAGTCTCCAAAGAACCAATATAAAGCCAAAATCTTGCAGTGCTTCCCAAGGAATCTCTTGGAAACACAGACTGTAGCCTTTTAGGATACAACAAACACATGTTGACTGGATTACCAATGATGTCTTCACTGGCAAGCATGGTAGCACTCAAGCAAGTTTTGTTTTTTGTAATTTTTACTTGTTTGAATATGTGTATGAATATCTTGCCTTACTTTTTGGTTTTTTTCTTTCTTGCAATTTTTATCTTGAACTTTAAGAGGTCAGACATTTTGCATTAGTTACATTTTAGATAGAAACTTGAAATTGTTTCAGAAAGTACATTAGCACTCTACACTAATGCACCTACTTTTGCATTTATTTTAATCTTTGCATCTGCTTTCCATTGAAAATGAAATTGTGTGTTCTTTCTGAAGCATTCTTTTCATTAATTTCAAAGTTAAACTAAATTAAACTGTACTTATCAAATTTAATAAACATTTGCAGTCATGTCCATATTTTTCATATTCAGGGACTGTGAAAATGAGACCCTGATTAAACAGTAAAATCATCTGTATAGAAGTACCAATGTTTCATGGTTAAAGCAAACAGAACAGATTACTTTGGAGTAAACTTTATTTTAAAATAATAACTAACATTAAGTGACAGTTGCAGTATTCACACTGAAACATGAAGCAACCTGACATGGAGTATTACAAAAGTTTTAATATCAGTTAGAAACTTTGATCCAGAACGGGTGACACATTGATTCTGTTAACAATTTAATATAAGCATTACTCAAATCTGTAAATCTATTCACATAACTGGATTTACTAATTTATTTTTGAGTTGAACAAGCTGCAACTGATTTGTAACATAGGGTGTGTGTGTGATTTGGACAGTGAGGCATTGTGTTGCAAGTTGTAAAACTTTATAGACTGACAGATGAATAGACACAGAAAGGGAGACAAGTAGGGCACCTGGCACACAGACTGCACATATGTGTACATGTCAAACACACACACACACACACACACACACACACACACACACACACACACACACACACACACAAAAAGACAAGACAAGACAGTTACGCAGTCTGCTTAACAAATCACTTACAGGCGATGCATTTGAACGTGCACTGCATGCATCATAGTCATTGTATTTAAATGATGGCTAATAAATGCATATGCTGCACTAATCCGTCAGATTCAGCACCCAGTTTGTAAAGATTTGAGGATGCTTCGCTGAGAAATTGCAGGATAAAGACAGGAATAATCATAATTCCTTCTTCAAGATAAATGTAGTCCATAAACTTAAAGATGATTGAATTTTACCTTGTAATTATACACCATCAGACTACATAAAAAAGTTGGACGTAATTTGCTCCTACAGTCTGGACATCAACCGATCAGCCAATCAATTTGAGGATGAAAAATGTCTATAGTGATTTAGTTTTATTTCCCTGATTATTGCACTTTAAATCAAGGGGGTGCTAATCAGTAAAATCAACAACTTTAGACTGGTTAAAATGAAAACCTTCAAACTCTCTGCTTAAACGTTAAAGCCTTAGAAAGTATTTACATGTCAGCTAAATCTGCTAGAAGAAACAGGGCAGACAGACCTCCATCAAGTCACACATATACATCATAAATTAGATGGTCATTAGTGACAAATTCAGTAGAAAATGTTGAAATGTCATTGAGTTGCTCTTTTGTAGCAACTAAATGAATCCACGATCAGAAACTGCGGACTTACTTAAAGCATTTTTTGACCTCATCAAATTTAATGAATACGTATACTGACAGTTTTTTATGCAAGTTTTTATTGCACTAGGCTCTGTCCATATCTTGAAGCCTAATTATCAAGCTATTTATTCCATATTAATTCATGGTTTTTAGTAGTTGGCTGGCACATGCTGTAAAAGTCCCATATTTCAATAATCAAGCACATTTTTTTCAATTTTCAGAATTAGGTCTAATAGGGGACTTAACTAAATACCTACTTACCATATTGTAGGTATACTTTCAATACTTACCTAAAGTTATAGGTTCATTGTCAAACACACCAAGTATGATTTTTTTAAATTAAGCTTTTAAATTGTAATTTACCTAATTGTCCTTTTTCTGCAATCGGGACTACTCGTTACAATTGGGTCAAGGATTAGGACTTTGAGTGTGTGTGAACAGTAGGGTTTTGTCTGAAAGCTTTAAACAAGATGATCTAATAAACGTGTGTGTGTCTGTGTGTGTCAGTGTGTGTCTGTGTGTGTCTGTGGAATAGTCAAGGAGTTTCATTTCACTTTAACCAGGAGTCTGTAATAGCTGTAAGTCACGTAATGGACACAAAAAAAAAAACACACACACACAGACACACACACACACACACACACAGTAGTCAAGCACACCACACACACACACACACACACACACACACACACACATACAGTCAGAAATAGAAAATCCAGTGGGCTTAAGTCGTCATTATGAAGAAAAAGTGAAAGTATAAAAAAAACGAATGAAAGGGGTCTCTATTCTCTCCATCCCTCGCTCGCTTTTTCTCTCTCCCGCCCACGTTTGGAAAATTCCATGTTGTCATTTGCTAAGACGAGATGCCCTGTCAACCAATAAGATTTCAGGAAAAAAGATTTGGGGAGGAGAGGGATAGGGCAAAGAAGGAGAGAGCGAGAGCGATGAAGGAGGAAAGGGGAGAAGGGAATGGAAGAGACAGACAGAGAGAGAGGCTTTGAAACCCGTAGTTATAATCGGCTGTTAGGCAGTGTAATGAAACAGCTGTCAGACACATTTCACTTTCTTTTTCTCTCTCTGTTCTACAGTTGTCGCTCTCATCATCTGTCTTTGTCTCTCCTTCACCTTCTCCTCAGCTCTGCCTTTTTTCTTTGCTCATTCTTACTTACTCTAATTTCCTTTTTTTCCCCCCTCTCACGTCTCAATTTGCTTTTCATCCATCTCTCACCTCTTTCTTCTCCCGCCTCTATTCCTTGACTTACACACTTTTCCCTCAACTTGTCCCACTTGTCCTCTGTCTCTCTTCTTCCTCTCTCTCTCCCTCTTATATTACCCTTTGTGTCTTTCTGTCCATTCTGCTTGCTAGAATGACTTGATGTTTGGCTCCTCTCTAATTGCCTGGGCAGGGTCTGTGGGACGTGATGATTGGATGATTGCTGTTGTGAGATCACACGCAGTAATAGATCTCACTTAGCCATCTGAATTTATTCTCTTCAATGAAGCTGAAATAATAAGAAGAAGATATACTTTATTAATCCCCAGTGGGGAAATTCTTTTTTCACTCAGTGTTTACACACACACAGGCCCAAAATATAATATAGACATGCAAATGTGGAGATATGGTGGAGTGATGGGCTGCCATGTAGTGACTGAAGCGGTTAGGGGTTAGGTACCTTGCTCAAGGGCACCTCTGCAGTGCACAGGAGATAGAACTGGCACCTCTCCTGCTACCAGTCCACACTATCTCGCATATACCAAAATATAATATACCATCTCACATTTTTTGCTCTTTTTGTAGCATGTTTCACTTTACCACCTCAGTCTGTGTCTTTAGTTTGCCCTTTTTCTGTCATCTTTTAATTTCTGTTCTCCGGCAATAGATTAATGAATATAAATTCCTCTTCATTGTCCTCTCCACTACAATAGACAGGGAGAGGTTTAATGACCAGGATTTAATTGCAAAAGGAAAATAAAGCAAGTTCCACAGTGGTGGAGTTATTCTCTCTCTAAGTACAAAATGATGACAGGGGTGACAAGAATTAATGAATTAATACAAGATTATTTATGAGAATACATCCATGCTTTAGAGCTCAAAATAGGACAAAGTTAATATAATCATTTGATAATTATGACTGAAATCAAAATGCATGCTCATCGACATTTGCAGTGTAAAACTCAAGGTAAGTGCCCCTATATATTTATATATCAAAAAGTGTGCATCTTTGCTCACTTAAAATGCAATGCAAATGCATTTTGTTCTTGCCAAACCTCCATTGCAACTGCCAACTGTCGGCATCAAACCACAGATCCATAAAGAGAGAAATCCATATTGTACAGTAGTAAGTCTAATGTCACTGTAAGACTTGCCAGGTTGCCTGCTCACCAGTATAGCCAACAGCACACTATAATCACCTACAGTCGAGGGACTAACCTAATAAAAAACATATGAGTGTCAGGTTGCTCGCTTAGTAATGCAAAATCTTGGCCTCATACATTGGATTCTACAGCAGAGACTGATAGATATGTTGTTGGTCAGTTAGTTAGAGTTTCAGCAGCCTGTTAATTGTCTACAGTTACATACAGAAAATTATGGATTACGTTTAAGAGAGGCTGAGGCATAATTTTCCATATTGGCAGGAGCATATCTCTGTTCATGTCAGGTGTCCCTCAAATATCTGCTGCACAGGAATTAAAAATGTGATGAATGTTTTATTTTTGTTTTTGAACTTCAAGGACAGCATATATTAGGTGTATAATCATAATGTATAATGTATCTAATGGATACCTATTATCTACTGTCTAATAATTGTTTGTAGGTTCGTCTTTCAGTTACAGTTGTACAATAATTAAATACAGCTACCACTGTTGATGTTTGTCATTTAAACCAGCAAAAGAGCTGTCAGTGTGAGCTAAAAATGAGAACCCTGCTTCCTTACTGTTTTCAACATTGCTCTTTGCTTTGCGAGATAAAATGTTTGATGAGAGATAAACATATTTTGACACCCAGGAAATGGATCCAAATGGAACCAGCTGTTGGAAACTCTACCTTTTTGTACCACTAAGCAAAGACCAGCCAAGCTGCAAGAACCACATGAATGACTGTATGATATACAGAAATTGATTTTTAATCTTGATGTAACTAAATCTTTTTTTTGCCGTTTTCTCTCTTTTCTGCGTGTCCACAGGTGACGCTGGGTGGCACGCTAATTGGGATTGGCCGCAAGACCTCTGATTGCCAAGGGAATACTAAGTACTTTCGCTGCAAATTCTGCAACTTCACGTACATGGGCAGTAATTCCTTAGAACTTGAACAACACTTCCTGTCCTCGCATCCAAATAAAGTGAAAACTCCGCCAACCACGCCGCTGCTGGCCACCAATAACCTGGCAACGCATGAAAACCAGATAAAGGAAAGGAGTCAAATCTTAGATGTGGCGGATCGAGTCGCGGTGAGGGCGGAAGATGATTCCTTGGTCGGGTACTCAATCCCAGTCAGGGCGTGTTCAGATACGTCGAGCTGGACAGGGGAGCCGGGTCGAGGTGCCGTGCAGGCGTATTATTGGTGTAAATTCTGTAGCTGGAGTTGTGAGTGGTCAGGGGGCTCAGCTAAGCTTTTAGAGCACTATGAACAAAGACATAGAATGAGCACTGGAGGTTCTATGAGCCCCAACAACTCTAATCCTGGGGTGATGGACAGAGAGAGGGAGAGAGGAGGCAGAAGAGAAGGAGGAGAAAGAGACCACATGGCATCCAAAAGCCGCAAAGATGTATCATCCAACCCGTCCAGCACCAGCCAAGGTAATTAAATGGGAAAGCATGGTGATATGTGGTGGTGAATTGCTTTACATGTTTTTCAAGAGAAGGTAGCTACTTCAACGAAGCACATGATTAATGATCAAGCGTATCAAAATTAAATAGCCATCTAATGAGTGTTCTCGTTGTGCTGTGATACTGCTCGACTTTCTTCTTTCTAGAAACTCTCACACTGCTGCCCTTTATTTATTTGCTGTTATAAGTACTGCAATACTGCTTGACCTTTTTTTTTTCATCAGTTTTACTGCTTTGATGCTACTTGACCCTCTATGTCAGTTTTCTGACATGCCCTTGTTTTTCAATTCCAAGACCCGAACTGTTTTATTTAACAGATCTTTGCTCTGTTTTCTGCTTCCTAGGAGACCCAAACAGCAGTGATTCAGAAGCAGTTGTGACCAGTTATAACTGTCAGTTGTGTGATTTCCGGTACTCAATGGCCCACAGCGCAGATGTGATCGTAGTAGCACCATTACTGCTGCACTACCAGCACAACCACTCCATCCATCGATGCTGCATTCAGCACTGCATGTATTGTCCACAGGGGCTCTGTCAGCCACACAAACACCTGGGGGAGGTGAGATTGATAAAATATTGAAATGTTTATTTGGTGTTGTGGTGTTTGCCTAGCAATTAGAAGGGAAAAAAATAGCTGTTTTGTAAGCACAAGAAAATAAATGTAATATATGAACAAGTGTAAAGTTAATTGTTCCAATTTCCAGCCTAGTTAAAATTCCCTTGCTTCCCCCCTTCCACCCACGCACACTCCCCACTCTCCTTTGTGCCAGCTGCCAAATGGTGCAGTTGCAGCTGTTTAACATGCAAAAAGGATGGTTAACAGCCAAAATTGGGGGTGGCATCATTCAGTTAATGATGCACATTCATACTGGTATCCTTTGATATCACCTGCATAGACAAAAACACAATTACATCACCAAAGTGAGAGAAACAACAGAAGAAAACAAACTCTTAAAGTCTAAATTCACTCTCTATGCACAGTTTCGTCAGTAATCATGCAGCATCCATGCTACTCTTCACCAAACCTCCTGTGATTTTTCTCAATAGGTGTCTCACCCCTTTGCTTGTCGGAAGCCCACCTGCCCTAAATGCTGTTCCAAGTTTCCTCCGTCCACCAAACAGCAGGACACCGTCGGTTCGAAACCTACTATCGCCACCTCACCCAGCATGACCCCTCCTAATCCTAGAGGTGACCCCGGTGTGAATTTTTACCCCTCGAACCCTGCCCATCCTGTCGTCACACAAGGTATTCAAATGCATACTTCATCCAGCATATTTTGTCAGAATATTTTCAACTTTTTCTGTATGTCAGTAAATTAAACAACAATCCTTTCTTCGTTTCTTGCTCCTGACTCATCCTGTTTTTTTCTGATTCCAGGCGTCACCCACTTGTGTGACCAATGTGCGTTTGCCACCACCGACATCGATGTGTTACTCCAACACTACGAAAGCTGCCACACACTGATTAACCTAAAGGGGGCACCACCACATGTCAAGGCTGAGGAAGAAATTGGAGGAGACAAGGAAGGGGGGAGAGGAGGAGGAGGAGGAGAGAGGGAGTACTCTTGTACAAAATGTCACTTCATCACGGAAGTGGAAGAAGAGATTTTTAGACACTACAGGTAAGAGAGAGATGGGATTAGATAACAGTGATTAAATACTGTTGATTATCATTATTAGATATTCTATATTATTCCTTGTAATACAATGTTTTTTTCACCAGGATTCCTAGATATGAAAGGGTATTAAAAAGATTGAAGGAATTAAGATAATAGGATGTAATATGATGATATCAATGAAAGGTGATTGAAAAACATCCTCCCATTAAGTTGGCCACCTTTTCTAAAACTGCCTATTCTGTGTTATTCAATCATTTGTTCATTGTGCAATATCAAGTAGCATCAAAAATATTCCAGTTAATGTTTATGACTAAATGTTCTAATAACTGGATGAGGGTGAGTAAAAACAAAAAAAAGAATCCTATTTTAAGTTGGAAAGACAAAAAAGCATTACTTGTGCTGGGAAGTCCAGCTATTCCCTTTTTCCCAATTATCCAGGAAATTTTCGGCAGCAACCCATTTAAAAAAAATCAGACACTCATAGACACCATTTAGAGATTCACACCCGGAAGCAACTCAGACCTCACTGATATTCACAGATTTGTAGTCTTTGAATAGGAGTGTCACATACCTGAGGATTACCATTTTGTGATGAGCTTCACTGAAAAATCCAGCAAGGCTTCATTGTTAGACCAGCATGTTTTGGCTTATGGTTGTATAATGAGTTTAGGTTAAAGGTCCCGTGTGTAACATTTAGGAGGATCTAGTGGCAGAAATGGAATATAATATTTATAGGTATGTTTTCATTGGTGTATAATGACCTGAAAAACATAGAGCTTATATAGCCCAGAACGGACAAACCAAACACTGTTTTGCAGCCATCGTAGTTTCTCCTACACGCTTGGAAGGCTGAATTGTATTCAAATGGTTGCGGTCTGCAACTTTATTGCTAGATGTCACTAAATCCCACACACTGACTCTCCCCCATTTCCATGCACCTTGTAAGTAGGTAAAGTGCCAGAAGCCCTAACTGGGTTATGAGCTTCATTGATATCTACTTGCTGTATGTCCAGATACATATTAGTTCAGTTCCTTTTTGCTGTTTCTCTACTGGCACTTTCAGAGTGATAAACATGTGCCTTTCAATTCCTCTTGCACTACATGATCAGCACCAGGTCCCCTGACCTGCTGAGTTATCAAGGACTTAATCTAATCTTGGTATCAACACCGAGACATGAAACTGTGAGAATCTGGTTTTGTTGACAGCCTTTAGACAATTTAAACTACAGCACTGGGCTTTCCACCACTACCTTTTTAAGCTATTGCTGTCCTGTGAAACTACTCTATTTAAATACACTGTTGCCATATTTTGAATCTACTCTAAGTACAAGGCCTATGAAAAAGTACTTCACCGATTAAGCATTGCATTCCTACATTAATGTTGTTGGACTCAAGTTGTTTTTTTAGATTGATGATTGAATTGATGGAGCAGAAAAAGATATATCATCTTTCTTATCCCACTCATTCTTCATCCTTGTCAAAACTGGGCACCTAAATTACCCACAATGCAACGTGCAGTCCAGAGATTCTAGTACTAGTAGCAGCTGATGTTGTTTCAAGCCGTTGGCCTTGAGCATAGATGAGGATTGTGCTACAGAGGTCTGCTGGGCTCACTTCTTTATCGTTTTTTTTTAATTTTCAGTTTTGTAGTTTTCAGTTTTTCCCAACTGATGCAATTTGATTTTGTGCAGCTCCCTCTGGAGCAACAGAAGGCTTTATACAAGTTTTTCACATATGCATTTGTACTCCCCAAGACCTGTAAACAGACTTTGATGTGTTAAATCGGTGTGGAGTTCCCCTGTAATTCTAATTTACTACTAGTATTTTCTATCTTTCCCGGGGCAACTTTCTCCGGAGAGGAGGATCAGCCTGTCAATATAGAACCAAAGACTTGCAGAGTTTGTCTTAAGATTATTGTTAACTTTTTTCTTTTTCACATGAGTCTTTCATATGAGTACAAATTTATTTTTTCCTTGCACATACAAATGTCTGTGTACAGTGTGTGTATGTGTTTACCTGCTAAATAAGCCATAAGCTCAGTTTTACAGACATCTAAAAGGCTGGATAGGTCAGACTAGACTCCACAGCCAATTTGTTGCCTACACAAACACACAGACAGACAGACAGACAGACAGACACACACACACACACACACACACACACACACACACACACACATACACACATACACACACACACACACACACACACACACACACACACACACACACACACACACACACACACACACACACACACACACACACACACACACACACACATTCACTGGGTTTTCAGAGACTTCGCCAGCAAATAACAGAGAAAGCTAGAGTAAGTTAGGGTGGGAAAGAGAGAGAGGGGTGGTGTGGGAAAGTTGTGGCTGAAGACAGAGAGACTGAGAGAGATACACAGAACTGAAGACAGTTGTTTGAAATCTTCGTGGCTATTTAAGCATTGATCTATATTGCTGATCTGGATTGTCTCTTGATATACGCTCACGAACAAACTCACATAGTATACAAGTTGTTCTTGTTTTCTTGCACACAGTCTGACAGAGCCATTTTAGCGAGATTTCTGCTACAAATCAATGAAAGATTAAAAAGTTTGATTCATTTTGAGAGTGAGAGCAGAGAGAAGAAGAGGGAGCGATAGAGAAAGCGAGAAGAGGAGAAGGGGAAGAGATGAAGTGACAGATAGGAAATAAAAGGTAGAAAGAGAAAGAAGGGATTGTATGATGGAAGGAGAATGAAAGAAAAGAAACAGAGAGAGAAACTTAGAGAAAGGCACAGAGGAAAGTGGAGAGAAGGGGGAGATAGGGTGACAATGCGAGAGAGAGAAAGAAAGAGAGTTTGGAGGGGATTTAACAGTCCACTCACGTCCTTAACAAAATCTAAGCTCTAAATCTCAAAGCTCAAATCAAATAAAACTGAAATAAAGCCAGAAAGTTTCACACCACCACTAAAATCAACCAAACCTAAAAGGATTCCGAGGCCAAGTTGTAAAAAACAAAATCCAGGATTTAATTATAGGGTGCTCAGAACAAAGGGCCATGGTGTTGGGGAGGAACAAACTAATCAATCTCCCTTATAACTTTTACATCTAAACACCCTCACTGAGGTTGTGACATTTATAAGGCACAGACGTACACCAGCAAGAGCTTACTAACATATGCCTTTGTTGTGAAAGCTGAGAATGTGAATTATATTATTACAATGTCAGTATTTTTGGGTAATTTATGTTAAAGCTTCAGAATAAGCGGCAAAATGTGCGTTTTCTTGCACAAACAGAATATCAGACATTTTATTACAAATACTAAACATATGTTTGCAGCTCATTCTCAAACATTTAGTATTGCAGAAATACTGTTCCGACTATAATTATTAACATTTGTTGAGTGTGTGTGTCTGTGTGTTTGTCTCTGTGTGTCTCAGTGTGTGTCTGTGTGTCTGTGTCTGTAGACATCATTATGTGCAGGTGTGTATTGACCTCAGAGCATGTAGGGGTTGTGACCCCAAACACAGACTTGTTATTTGAGGGACTTTTGGGTAAGACTTGATTGACATATCAAATGCATTTAAATGGGCTTTCTTGAGACCAGTCACAGATTAAAAGTCTCTTATCCAAACAGAGGAAGCAAACCAAACATGTAAGCTGCAGTGAGCTATATTAACAAGTATGTGTGCTTCTGTAGAGCACATAGTCCATTGCTGCAAAAAAAAAGAGATCTTTAGAGAGAATTTCTCAAGTTGATTAGTTTAGATTCTTAAAAGATCTTTTAAAAAATCTTTCTCCAAATGTCTCCTTTTTGCTTTACAAATAAATAACTCCAAGGGCAAAAGTATGCAGTGAGTTTCCATACTTTTGTGATGCCAGCTTAATATTCTCAAAGAAATAAAATCAAACAAATAAATTTTTAGTTTACAAAGAACCCAAGCAACATTTACAGCTCATAAAACCCCCTTGTATTCAGACTGTTTTGATATTTTCTAATGCATCCATACTAAATATAACTTCCCTGTTCTTACTTTCCATGGGAACATTTAATTCAGTATATGTGAGATGGATGTGGTTGTAGACAGTGTTCGGTGTGAAGGTGGATCAGAATAGTTTGTGTGTAAAATGAATGATTTAAACTTCATTTATCATGAACGTGTATGTGTGTGAGAGAGAGAAACAGTGGCACAGCAAGCAAGTAAGTAAATGAGTCAGTAAGTGCAACAGTCCATGTGTGCATGCATGCATGCATGCATGCATGTGTGGTGTGTATGGTGATGACAAACAGAGAGGCCACTGTGTCTTTGTTCAGCATCTGGAGACATTTAAGTCCACTAGGTACAAGGTGTACTTTGCTCACACATTTTTTTTGCAAATTTCTACAAATAGCTAGATCATTCTGAACTCCTCAAGATGCCGTTTAAAGCCCCATCTGGAATCTGTCTTTACCCAAGGCATTTATTTTAATTTATCAACTAATAAAGTTCAATAGACAGACAGAACCAAATAATATATGCAGAGAAAAAGAGATAGAGAACAAGAGAGGGAGATGGAGAACAGTCACAGATTTGCACTTTTTTTTAAATTAATTTTTTTATTTACATAGTTTTTTATTTCTTTGAACCTACATATCATTACCATTTCTCTCCCGGTCAGTCATGCAAAAAACATGTCAAATGCATGACAAATAAGAAAGAGAGTGTATGTTCTTGAAAAAGTTATATTTCTGGTTGTATCCTTACTATTTGTGTGGGTGTCCATCTGTGTGTGTGCACTGCTCAGTCTTTTATATGTATATGTATTTTTGTTTTGTAGTTCATGGGGAACTGCGGCGGGTTCCACACACATGAGAGATGCTATAACAGAAACATGACAATTTGATAGTTTTTATATGTTTTCAATGACAGTTTTTTCATGCTTTTAGTCCAGTGTTATAAAACACCCACATTGCAGGGTTTTATAATAAATAGAAAAATGTTATTCATATTTTGAGTCACAGTTACAGACCTTTTGAAGGACAGCTCGGAATTGTTAAGCTGTTAGTCTTTCAAGAGGAAAAAGTTTACTTTCCACCATAATCAATCAATATATATATATTATATATAATAAGACCATCTCAGTACAGACAGACAGACTGATTCCTACAGTATATTCATTTATGTATATTTTGACAGCTGCTTGTTAATATTTTTCCTATATACCTAAATATAAAGCAGCTGCACACAGTGGGTCCACCATGAGCAACCACAAACAGGAGTCCAAGTTCTTGGTATAGATGGTTGATTGATTTTGCTCATTGGCCTGCACAAGAAGCACCGAAACTGTTTTCGGAGCCAGGAAAAACCCTGATGTTGTGTATCGTGTATATTGCTGGTCATTCAGGGCCTTGCCAACAGGAAATGAAGGTGGTTTGTTGATGGGTGATTCATTTCTTGTCATTCAGATTCATTTACATTCCTTACAGTTTTGTCCTAATTCAGCGTGATTTAGTGGAACACTGAGTAACTTTTTGGCCACAGACTCGGTGAAACTCTACCTGAGTGGTTGGAGAAAATCAAGCAGGGACAAGTGCACTTTAAATTTAGTCAATTCAGGGAGTTTCTTCAATTTTCTTTAAATGCTTGTCATATACAGCCCATTAAAAGCTATAAATGCTTGTCATATACAGCCCATTAAAAGCTATAAGCAAGGAATGCGTTTTACATTTCAAATTGATGAAATTCAAGATGAATTGACTTTTAAAATTGTTATGTTTGGTCTCATTACTGTGACTGTTCTTTAGTGTGACTGTCTCAGATGACCCTTAATGACAAATTCTATTTTTCAAGAGGTCAAGTTGGGTATTGCAAACCTATGAATATTTAAGCAGTATTATTGTCCTAATGCAAAATGAAAGTAATCATCTGTACTTCTTAATAATATTAAGAACTATTATATTTTATAAATTTGTTAATTGTGCATAATTCATTCGCTGATTTTTCTTCTCTCTGCAGGCGTGTCCACGCGTGTTGCCGTTGTCGACGCTGTGACTTCACGGCTCCTGATTCGTCAGCACTCCTCGACCATTTTAACTCGGCCCACTGTCATGAATCCTCTCCCTCATTAAGCTCACTGACAACAACTTCCTTACCCACCTCACTGACGACCTCCCTGACGCCTTCGTTAACACTCTCAGCTAATGGCTGCTCAGCTCCTTCTACCTTAGCCATTAAAGAAGAAAGCAAGGGGGATCTTCGCCTCCTCTACTCCCTTGCTCCGCCTGAGGGACGGTTAGCAGAGGGAGGCAGAGAAGAGGCAGGAGGGGTGGTAAAAAGTGAGGGAGCTGAGGAGAAAGAAAGAGAGCGGGAGAAAGGCTGGGTTCTTGGGGAGACAAGAGGACTGGGAGAAAGAGGAAGTGAGCAGGCCCACGGTTTACTTTGGGTGCCCAAGGAGCGAATGGGACCCGAAAGAGGAGTAGAAAGAGGAACAGGAGGTGGAAGCCCCTCTCTTTTCTCCTCCCCCCTCTCATTGTCGTTTGTTTCAGCAAATCATGAGGCCTCGCAGCAGAAAAGAGGCATGGCTTCACCTAGCATGGTTTACCTGGGAGACACCAAGTCATTTTTGGGAGATACCAAGTCGTTTTTGGGAGATGCCAAGCTGTATGGAGGAGGGAGACCAGGAGGAGCCAATGCAGGTGGAGGTGGGGGAGAGAAACAGATGCAGATGCCCCCTCAGCAGTATACAGGAGGAGGAGGAGGAGGGAGTGGAGGTGGAGGAGGACAGGAGGCAAAAGGAGGTGCTGCTAAAGAGGAGTCCCAGTCCCTGCTACGGGTAAGGTGCACACCCTCCTACATATCTCATTCCTCTGGTTCACATTCAGCTCATTCTCTCATTCAGCCTAATCTTTCTTCTTTGCCTCACTTAAACCTTGATTTTAACTTTTGGCTCTGGCTCTCTGAATGAAGGCCTTTGTAGCTAGATCTCTATAGCCTGATTCAACCTGCTGAGAGTATTAGTGGTCAAAGTGCTTCTGTTAATAACCCATCATCTTCATTTCCACTGAATCAGATGTGAGGATTAGACCTCATGTAGAGAACAGATACAATGACACCGGTAATGCTTCCATCATATTTAGAGTACTTATGCAGATTGACGCTGGCTAAAAACATGTCCCACATGCTTGCATGTGTTCATATCTCTGTGAGCTTTTGTTCGTGTGTGTGTTTCCATGACATAATTTCCTTTCCCATAAGTTGTATTCATCTTTTTTTAAATTAAATTTTAACTCACAACACCGAGAAACTTGCCTGTTGCTACAGCAACGAGGAGGCAAACTGACAGTTCCCATGGTTACCACCTGTCAGTCAGCTCCCCGATCGTACTTTGTGGCCCACAATGCTCTTCACTTCACAGTGATGTCATGGACTGGCAGGAACAGACTGTGGTTTGCCAGCACCGCAGAGCTTATTGGCTATGATCACATTAGATCAGAATAGACTGAACTGTGTGTGTGTGTGTGTGTGTGTGTGTGTGTGTGTGTGTGTGTGTGTGTGTGTGTGTGTGTGTGTGTGTGTGTGGTGTCAGAGCACTGACATGGCTCTATGTAAGTGGTATTATTGAGTGTGAGAGTGGAGTCCGTGGTGTACATATGGACATATCAGTGTGTGAGTTGAGTGTATGGCTCCTTTGTACAAGTTATGGGTCTGTTGCATGTGTGTCTGTATGTGCGTGCATGTGTTTGTGTGTGTGAGGTGTTGGCAGCAACTTGGCAGACTGGGCAGGGTGTGGCAGCAAGAGGTTTACTCATTATCATGGGTGGGGCAGTGTGTGTCTGTGAGAGAGCGAGAGAGTGTGACACAGCGAGAGACTGCATGCATGAGAGTGAAAGGGAGGAAAACCGAGATGAAGATAGTCAGATAGAAGTGCGTAGCAAAAAAGTCCCTTAGTTTCCCCCTAAAAATTGTTATAGTAACCAACATTCATCTCCCTAAAATCGTTATACCGTGTTAATTTGTATTCATTTTGGACAGAGCTAGGTTTGCTGTTTCCCACTGCTTCCAGTCTTTATGTTAAGCTAAGCTTAGCTCACAATGTCCTGCCTCTAGCTGCATACTTAACACACAGTCACAGGATTGACATGGATCTTCTCATTTAACCTCTGAAAAGAAAGCAAAGGATCATTTTGAATTCTTCTTTAGTAGCATTAAATGTAGAAGAAACATCTTATTTCACACTTTATGAGGGTATGATACACATTCTGTACCAGCTTGCTTCAAACTCTTCATAAAGGGAGGGAAATGGTCAAACCCAAGAATAAACATTTTTGATGGCTGCACCATTCAAGGACATGGGATTCACCTTTCCCCCAAATTCAAATGGCGATTATTTGTATCTCTGGAAACTTTGTGTTCCCCACTAAAGTAAAAAATACACTTTTGTTGGTTTTGTAGCACAATGAGTTAATGTGTTCGGTTAGAGAGAAAACAGACAAGAAAGATAGTGAGCACTGGAAGGTGAAAAGAAGAAAGAGGAAGAGAGAGACGGATGAGACAAACAGTTTAACAATTTATTAGAGGGGAAACTGAAAATGACTTATTACTTTAATAGCTTCATAAGATATGGCCTTTGCTGCTGTCTTTCTCCATCTCTCTCCTCTCACTACACAATATTTATTCTCAGTTTCCATGGCACACACACACACACACACACAAATCCCACACACATACGCATGCATACATACACGCTCAGGCTGAGGTTGACTCATCACTGGGCAGGGTAAGGGAGGGGCACTAATGCAAAGGATCATCTGAAATAGCTCAGTACACACACGCACACGCATATATCAACACTTAAAGACACACACACACACACACACACACATAGATGTTTAGTTCAATTTAAATGCGGCCTTTGACTCAACAGGGCAGAGTCTGAATTACAAAAGGTGAATCCACCCGAAATACAAATTGACTCTTTGTAAATGGCAAGTGAGAAGCAGTGAGGGAGAGCGAGAAGGAGAGGATAGAGGGAGGGTTGAAGGGAAGAGGAGGAGGAAGAGCGATGATGGAAGGATGCAGGGAGTGCGTTAGTAGGGAGGAAGCAAAGGATTAAAAAGAGACAAAAGCAGAAACAAATGGCCGAAGTCATATTTCATCTTAACACGTGTGTATGTGTGTGTTTTTTTTCTTTATGTGGCTGTGTGCGACTCTGCGTGTGTCTGTGTGTGTGTGTGCTTGGGTTTCATTCATCCTCACTTGTTCTTTCTATTCTCCCCTGCATCGATCTGTCTCTCCTCTCCTTTTGTTTCCATTCTTTTTCTTTCATTTCCCTCCTTTTCCTCAAAGGACAACTCACCTGATACACAGAGATCAATACACACCTCACACATACACACAGGCATACACACACACAAATACACACACACACAGGATCTGAGTTGTTAGTATTCTGGTATGGGAGGCTTTTTGCTTTGTAGAGAGGAGAGAATATTTTCTTTTGAAAGGCCTGATCTATAATTGCTGCGCAGTGTTGAGACATTGCCCTGCTATTGGCTTTGTTTTCATAGTGATTTATTACATTGAAGACATTTTCTCAGTTTGAAATGTTATTTTCTGACGTTTTGACTGACTGCATGAGGCAAGGATAGAAAGTGAACAAGGTTTAGAGATGAAATTAAAGTAAAAGCTTGGTTGACGTTTTAGTTTATAAATGGAATGAGACAGACTTTGAGTAATGGTGGTTTTTCGAGTTAAGTAGGGCTGAGAAAGGCCCGCCTATGTGCCAAACATACGTGAACATATGTGACTATACCCAAACATATGTGAATCGAACCCAAAATTTAGATCATCTAATAAATTCCAGGCTGTGTTTTTCAAAGGGAATTCCACCTCAAGGACAGCAGAGAGAGGAGCAGATAAATGGACTCGAGCAAGCAAGAGGGAGAAATTGTCGATGTGACCTTACAAACACAATATAATTGTGTTCATCTTATGTGGTCATAATGCAATACTGAAATGTGAACCTTCGGGGGGTTTTAAAAGTCCCATGCGTGACATTCAATTCCATTTGAGTCGAGAGACAGACAGAGAAAATAGAGAGACGAACTGAGAGAGATAAACGGGAATGTGTGCTTTCAGCAGATCAGAGAAGAGTTTCATTAAAGTTCCTCTCGTTTACATTTCTGCCCGACGGAGCTAATTATGTTTAAAAGACACACACAACACACACACAGAAACACACACGCTGCATTTCCATAAAGTTCTCATTACTTTGCGTTCTATTTCCCTTCTTCCCCCCTTCCTTGCGCAAATTCATTCGTGTCAGTGTACATGCGCATCTGTGTGTGCTTTCCACCGCTTGTGTACTTAATTATGTGCGATGTGTCTGCATTTGCATTCTGTCTGTGCGTGGTTGTGCGAGTGTGTGTGCGTGTTTTGTAAGGAAATTAAAGCATGAATTGAACTTATTTTCCGTGCTGATAATTTAACATCACTTTATATCCGCTACAGGAAATTATGGAGCTTATACTCAAGTCTGTATGTGTATGTGTGTGTGTGTGTGCGTGTCTGTGTTTGTGTGCTCAATGCTGTTTTAAAGACAAAAACAGGGAGAAAGCTTTAGTGATTTAACCTTTAAATTGTGTTCCTTAACTGATCTGCTGTGTTATCTGAATGTTGTCTTTCTATTTCCTGGCCCTTTGCACTCACAGTATAAACTCATTAAAGCAGCCTCTTCAAATTGCCTTTAATGTATAATTCTTTTTTTTTTAGGTCTATTACTTTGTTTCTTTTTGATGTAAGAAAAGTGCTCTAAAAATGAAATGTAGTGATAAAGCAATTTGTTTCAAAGGCTGGAAAAGTTGTTCAGGGGGCAGCAAAGAACTGATTAACTTTTGGTAAAAATCTGATGTATGGAACTCACTGATCATTGAGCTGATATTATCACAGATATATAACACTGTTTTCGTATAAGTCAACCTACACAGAAATGGCAAAAATATCTTTGTAGTAATTTCAAAAGTGTCTTAGATTGCTGACAAGTTAACTTTCCAGCTTTAAAATATCCCACACAGTACATATCTCGGTGACAAATAACCTAAATGAGTGGCACCTGATCACAAATGTAGCTGCTAGTGATAGTCATGATTGAAACTCCTTTTGACCTTGGTTGTTTCATTTCTTTAATTGCTGATCTGGAAGATTTAACCTTGTAGGGTTTCGATGCTCAGTCAACCACTGATGTGCCACTAAGCTGCATATTCCACTGACTCCTTCAATACCAGCTGCGAACAACTACCTATTGAATGCCATTAAACATCAATACAACAGTACAGTATGAAAGGTGCATTTGCTACAGATATCCTTATAAAGATGAGGATGCTTAGACTGTTAGTATCCTGTATACAGTACCTCATGGAACACGTTAAAAGTGCTCTCTTTATTCTCTCTAGCTGCTGAGGTCCAGTGTGTGTGTGTGTGTGTGTGTGTGTGTGTGTGTGTGTGTGTGTGTGTGTGTGTGTGTGTGTGTCGGAAAAAGGGAAGACATACTGATATTCACCAAACTGCTCTCCCACTCTCTCCGCACACACACTCAGACAGAGTTGTCTGTCCTGGGCTGTTGAGTTTGTTTGTGTAGCAGTCACATTTCCCATCAGGACACAGACTCAAATAAACAGTCATGCTGGAAAGAGAGAAAAGTGTCTCTGTGTGTGTGTGTGTGTGTGTGTGTGTGTGTGTGTGTGTGTGTGTGTGGTAGTGTGCCTAGTGTATAAAATCCAGGCTGTTTAGTGTAACAGAAACATAACCAGACAACCTGTTTGCTGTAATTTTGAC